TAAACCTTTTCCTCCGCAAGTTGCTTTGGTCACGGTGTTTCATCACAGCAATAGAAACCTCAGCTGAGACAGAGGAACAAGCACACAAAACTAAACTGCAAGGACAGCTGTTTTTCAACTGTAGCTGTGGGGATTCCCAAAGTCTATTGCTCTTCACCTCTGTGGTTGGGGCTCCTCCCCTCCATGTTGGGGCTACAGGGAGACCTGGAAGTATGCAGCTGAGAACACATCTATCTTAAATCAGTACCTGCACCATCACTTTCTCTTTGTGTTAGGTGTCTACAGCAATTACCCATTTCTCTGGTTCTTCAACTTTGAGCCCAATTATCTCACTCAGGAAAAGTCAGATGCAAACAATCTGCCTTCTTTTCACATTTGAAAAGCAGAAAAATACTCATTTTTTGGATAACTGTATAAGGCAATACTAGTGGTATGTGTGATCTCAAATGATAAATTAAAAATTCTAAATTGGATTAGACATTAAATAAATTGTAGTAACTGAGAAGACTTTTTGGAAATATTAGAACTCTATTCCAGTTTGTTTATAAAATTCTCTTCATTGTCTCTTCTGCTTTATATAATGAAATACACACTTCCCAGGCTACAAGTAAGCATGACAGAAAACAGCTTTTTATTTAATTTTGCTTGTAATCAACTTTTAATAGTAAATCTACATCCTCCCACTCCAGAATCCTAACACAAATGAAACACATTTCAGTTACTTTGTGCTGAATGGACATATGTCCTATCTGAAAAATCTATTCTATCCACATTCACGATTATTTTTATCAGTAACATTTTGAGTGTTAAATGTAACATAAACCACAACTTCTCAGATTAGAATCTATGCAAAATATCAAACTTGAATGGGTATGCTGTGAATCTTATAGGTGCTTACAAAATCTACTGTTTTTTTTTGTTGTTTTTTTTTTTTTTTTTTTTTTTTTTTTTTTGATTTTCGAGACAGGGTTTCTCCGTAGCTTTTGGTTCCTGTCCTGGAACTAGCTCTTGTAGACCAGGCTGGCCTCGAACTCACAGAGATCCGCCTGCCTCTGCCTCCCGAGTGCTGGGCAAAATCTACTGTTAAAGCCCCTCAATGATGAGTAACCCTTTCTATGATTTTTATCATTTGTTAGCATAGTAGGCAAAGAGAGAAAGCAGGAATAATTTAATACAAATTGCCCTTTTTCAAAATTAAGGTTAGGAGGAAATAAACACCACACTAGTGGGGTGTTAGAGAAACTGTTCACAACTTCATCTTTGAGGTGACAGAAAGCAAATAAAAAAAATAATGAAAATAATGAAAGTGTACTATGCTATCTATAAAGCATGTAGGCTCTGAAATGTCAGCATGACATCATATGGCAAAGGAAGATTAGAGAGTTATTTAGTCATGACTATTGAATTCTCCAAGTAACCTGTGACTAATACGCTTAAGGCAATTTGTGCTCTGCAAACAGAACAGCATATAACTTGGAGTGCTCTCTTCCTTCTTGAGCAGAGATGAAATCACGTTCTCCTGTCAAGGCTTTGACAGATATATTGTGAAGAGTTTTGACAGATATACAGTTATGCTATTTTTATGATTTTAAGAGTTATCTTATTTATTCATAAATACCATAATCAAATGCTAAAGGCGTATTCACCCATAAAATTTGATTTTCCATGAGCAAATTGGAACTTGGGCATCTGATGAGAATCATATAGACATCTTGCAGCACATATAGCTCTTATTTGTTCCAAAGACCACAATAATTTTCAATGATCCAACAGAAATGTGTTGCACAGGGAAGGTAGTAAGAAAAAGAAAGTGTCATAGTGGTCCTGGTCAACTGTAAGCACACCAGGAACCAACTCCTTTCATGTTGGAAAACTGTCTCTAGTATTTCATTCATTCATATATTCTGCAAATATTTATCATGTATCAACTCCTCCAGAGGCTGAGAATATATCCATGTCTCAAGTGTCCTAGAAAATGTGTTTATGCATGATAGTAGATGAAAACACATGTAATGAGCATAATTGATAAAATTTATGGTATATTTATAAGGTGATACATGTCTTTGAAGTACCAAATGTGATTTTATAATGTTGGGTTGGTTTAAGAGTTGCATAATAAAGTTTTATCGCTTACAGATGAATGAAAATCATATATATATATATATTACCAAGTTATCCTTGAGACTCTTTTAAAAAATTAGGGCTAACTAGCGTAATTGTTTTAAATTTCATCATGGAAAGAATAGAAATTTATGTAACCCTACACTTCACATTGAAATCTTATCTTATTAAAAGACAAAAAGTTTATATGGACTGAGCAGAAACCATTTTATAAGATCTAATTGTAGGGATATAACTGTAGCATTTCTCAGCCTAGAGTCTATCATTATATGAAAGCCAATGCTGGGGTAATAAAACCAAGCCCCAAGTTTAGGAAATGAAAAAAGGTGACCCCATGGGAAATAGTCTAAAAGAACACACAATTAAACCGGGGAAAGTCAAATTGCATAACATTGTAATTACTGATAACATAAGTCACAGAAGATGGACGGTAGTGATTAAACAGAATTGCCCCAAGGCTAGTGAGACTTGAGTAAGAGATTAATATCGTTGTACTTTATACACATAGGGGTCCACTTTATGCTTAAATTGAAGCAGGAAGACAGTTTCTTTCCAAGCTACAAAGAACTCCACATCCATCATCCTTAGAGAAGGTTGACTTGACTGGGAGAAGGTATAGAGCATGCCTAGAATGGCGTAGCCAATGCTGGCATTTCGTAAACTATCAGAACTGACTGCACACATCACAGACACGTAATTATAAAACAGAAATCTGTCAGCAGAAATGAAATTTCTTAGCTGCTGCTTAGAATTGATCAGTGTTAGCAAATGTGAAAACACCTCACCTATTATAAATGAAAAGAGATCACAGACGGTGAGGATGATGACAGAGACACTGTCATCATTAGAAATGACAGGGGTACTGAAGAACTCAAATGGAATGGTGATCTTGGCGAAGGGTTTTTCTTAGATTCTTCCACATTCCTCCTGATATTTTTTTTTTTTTTTTTTGCTGTCTGTACCTACCCTGGTGTGTAGAGTTGTAGTCTCCATGCCTCGACGTGATCACACTAGGTAAGAAGTTTGCCTTTGGCTAATATCAATGACATTTCTGCTTTTAATCTTTTAATTATGTGACTTGTTAGTTAGCAAATTGTGATAGTCTTATAATTTTTGAAGGATTTTTTCTAGGCACTGGATATGTGTGCAGCTCCGGTGAAATACTTCCCTAGTATGCCCAAACTTCTCCAGCACCTCAAAAATTACAAGTGTTTCTCTTCTAACACTAAAATATGATTATTAAAGTTCTCATGCATTTAATTAGTAGACCACAGTAGAAGTGAAACTGTATGAAAGCCACGCTGGAAGCTCAAGGTAATATTCAAATTATTTCAGTAATCAGCACACTGAAGAAGTTAAATTTGAGCAAATACTTGTATCCTGTCCTCCAAAAGAAACTCAATTCCAATAATTTTCAGTTTTATATTGAATAACTATGTAAAATTTCATATATTATCATCTCAAAATAGGAACTGTACCAATATATTTAGAATCTAATTGGTAAAGCATTCATTATTTGGTGCAAAGTGATACTTTTTTGCAGATATTTTCAAAGTTTAAACCCTGTTTGCTTACAGCTGTTGCTCAAATGCAGAGAGATCGTCAGTTTGGCAATGCCATCTTACTAACCTGAAAATACTTATATCTACAGCTTCTGCTGTGTGGACTCTTCAGGATTTAAAAAATAAAAACTGTGAGACAAAGTTAAAATAAAGGGCAAGAGTTTTAGAAGCTCCTTTGCTGGGAAAGGCTTAAGGGACTCCAAGAATTATGTCAGCACGATAGCACTTTGAAGATTTATAAACGTGAGACAGTACTATTAGCTTACATTTTCTTCTGGACCTTATAATAAAACTGGACCAGCCTTGTTTCAATTGCAGAAGTTATTTCTACAAGGTTGGAGGGTAACTGCTGTGTACTTGCGCCTGGCGATTTAATTCATCCTTTCCGGGTCGTTTCTATAACAAGGTAGGACATCACTGCCTAACTTTAGCAAACACCTTTCATCCCTGACTCGAGCAAATACACTGAAAAATGACTTCATTCTACAAAAAAACAACAGATTTATTAGGGTTAAGGAATAGTGGTGATATATTACTCCTGTTACATTCAGATCAAAACTCAAGGGTTCATTGTACACACTGGCTCCAGGAGCCACTATTTACAAGTTTTTGGCAACTTAATTATTGTCTGTGCAGTTTACTTTACAAAATAAAATCTGGCATAGTTTTCTAGAAGTATATTTGTTTGCTTGTTTTCCACCCTAGTCTCAACTCAATGAACAGAAGATGGACAGATCTTTGAGAGTTTTGTCTTTTCTCTCTATTACTGTAACGACATTCTGGGCATATTGCAAAGTTTGCCAGTTTGTTCTTTAAAGAGGCAGAGGCAGGTGGATCTCTGTGAGTTCGAGACCAGCCTGGTCTACAGAGCTAGTTCCAGGACAGGCTCCAAAGCCACAGAGAAACCCTGTCTCGAAAAACCAAAAAAAAAAAAAAGTCTCCCTCATCTAAAACATCAATCTCTTTGAATTCAAACCTTTTCTCTTTTAAGTCCCTTTCTATTCACAGATCACTTAGGGATTGGTGGGTCTGTTGAATGAACAGGGTATACATTCCAAGGAATTTTTTTTTTCACAGCTATTCTTGCCTTCTGTTTTAAGAATGTGAGCCTCATAATGTTGCTTCTAGACAACTTGGGACTCATCAAGCAGCTTTGAGTCACGAGACTGTGCTGCTTTGTGTCCTGTAACGCACACAAGGTGGACTATGTGGTGCCCAGCCTTCCATTTAAAACACACTTGTGCAACCTTTCCTTTTCTCTCTGGAACACCTCCACTACCAAAGAGCAACGTGAGAACTGCAGGGACATTGGGTTACCGTGGCTGTTGCATCGCGATGTTTCCACAAGCCTGCCATTTTGATCGTAGCATGCCATTGCTTGGTAACGGTATCCTTGTCCACATTCCTTGGTGTCTCCTTGTACCTTCATTCCCAACAGCACCTCAGCCTTCCCTTCCGGTAAAATACAGTCCGACCAGTTTCCCACAGGCTGCGCGTTGTACTTGTCACAAGGACAAAACTGAGTTTCTATCAGAGGGTACAAGTGGGAGTTTTTACATTTTTCCTTCTTTTTACTTTTCCCTGTAGAAGAGAATTATGTTGGAAAATAGCATTATTATTTTCTAGCATCCTTAGATTTTTTTCACATTCTTATACTTCCGTGTTCTGCTTTTGATTCCATTCAATAGTAGCCTATAAATAAATGATAATTTTCATTTCTAAGTGCTTTCTAAATACATTTTTTGCTGATATTGGTTGCTTTGGACTTTGCATAGTGGAACTTTTCTTGCTTTTCATTTAAAAATAGTCCACTTTGCAGAAAGGATTGTAGTTGATTTCACACTCTTGGAAATGATTGAAATCCTCTTGTTTGTTCTGACTCGGGAGTTTGTGGCATTTGCATAAGCCTCTTCTTTTTAATATATGCAAAAATACAAGCGGCAGAGAGATAGACAACTCACTGCACTGCATTCTCCTTTGATGACTACAAAGACGTAGCAGAGTTACAGGGGTTATATAAGTTATATGTGCATTTTCAAATTATATATTTAATTCTGCTAGTCATATCATATGAAATGCCCATGATATGTAAGTATAACTCTGTCACATATATATTCTTTAAGTGCATTATGAGATTTAATCACGTATTTAATTCTAAATTACTCACACTGATATATATATATAGCTATATATGATTTATATATGTGGTGTATATATACATATATGGTTTATATATGTGTATATGTGGCATATATAGTATACATGGTTTATATGTGCATATATTGTTTATATATGTGATATATATACAATATAGTTTTATATGTGGGACATGTACATATAAACATACACATATATAACTTATATGTGCGGTATATATACACATACACATATATGGTTTATATGTGTGTTATATATGTATACACACATATAGCTTTATGTATGTGTGGTATATATACATATACATATACATATATACGGTTTATATGTGCAGTTTTCCAGGGTCTTCAGGCTTTGGTTCATTTTATAATTTGACATCTCTAAACAGTTAACATTTTTGGTTTCTTTTTTCTTACTTGCCCCTTACAGTGTATTCAAATGCATTCAGCTTCAGTGTAGTGCCCTGTGTTCTGAACTGCGAGCTATGTCATTGCCTTTTCCACTTTTTAAAACCATTGTGACTATATTTCAATGTAGCATTCAGACATAGAATTAATGTCACATTTCGGATCATAGGAGATAAACTACTCACTGAATTTGTGGTCCTGAGAACAGGCTGAGATGGGAAAGGGGTAGCCTCTACTCCCTGTTCTAGGCACTTCAAACTTTCTGGACAATGCACTAATGATGCATGTTTAAACAACAACAATAATGTTTTGCTTTATGTTTTGCTTCATAGAGAACTTAGTTGCCTATTCTTTCTTCTAAAATAATAAGCTTTTATCATTATTACCTTTCATTAAAGTCCACACCTCAATATACTGAAATACTCAGTAGAACTACAGCAACAATAAGAGTTTTCAAGCATATTGTCAGAATGCTCTTGGTTTGAATTTCCGTGTATTTTTTTGTCATGCTGAGAGTTTCCTTTAGCATCCCAGTTATTCTTACCAACAATAGCACGCTTTCTGGTCCTAACGGCACCGCAGTCTCCATTGCATGAGGAAAACTTGGACCAGCTGGTAAATTGACAGTCATCTTGGCAAGGGATCTGGCAAGCCTGTGTTAGGGCTGGCACAGGGCCTGCATGCTGGAGGCACTCCTGGATACTAGCCTGTCCTCCATCTTGCTTTCGACAAGTAATGGCTAAAAGAAAAGCATGTGTCTAATTACTCTATTGTTTAGAAATTAAAAGCATTTTCACAAAGTGAGGAATCCTCTTCTGAGTCCCAGATTACAGGAGAAATGTTGTTAGAGTATTTCTAAGAATCACAGTAGACATAAAAGTTTGTGTGTGAGTGGTGTACTGTGAGTACATTTGGAAGTCAGAGTTTAACACTGAGTGCCATTTTCTACCTCTCTCTGCTTATTTTTGATATAGGGTCTTTCACAGAACCTGCAGGTCAACCATTGTCTGGCTGGGCTACAAACCCTAAGAATCCTCTGGCATTTGCCTCCTAGCACTGGATTATAGTCATGCTCAACTGCATCCTGCTTTTATGTGGGTGCTGGGAAGCACACTAATTTCCTCACGCTTATGCCGTATACACTTCACTCACTAAAGCATCTCCCCAACCCTTGTACATCTTTAAAATAACATATAGACTTCATTGGCTGTTTTGTAACAGGAAAACATACCGTAACACACACACACACACACACACACACACACACACACACACACTGGCATTTCACAAATTTTGCTAGATTCTAAGAATGATATTAATCAATTTTGCATGTGGGTTTGGTTTAGAAATTAATTTTACCAAAAACTCTTGAAAAATGAATCTCATTTGTGTTGACCATGGAATATTTGCCATGGTGCTAGAAGCTTATCATGTGTCTCCAGTGTTGTTTAGGAAATTAAACAATCTAAAATTTCTCTATACAAACGTCTCAGTGAAGACCCATTTCTTAGGAAACTGAGGTGGAGGAACATGCTTATGTCCTTATCTTACAGCTATATCAGCATAGAAAGCACCATTGTCCTCAACAATGAGCATGTACTGGGGTGTCTCCTGAGTGACTAATAGGAAGTATCAAAGCCCTGCATGACTTCTGATCTCAAGTTTATCATATCACAGAAATATTAACTCTGAATTTAAGACTAAATTTGGGAACTTTTAATAAGCTTAAGGTATCATGTCACTAGTAGAATTCTCATGACGACATAAGGACTTTAGCGATGATCAAACAATTTTTATTCACATAGTGATTCCTTCCAAGATATTGCTTCAGTGGTTTATTTAAAGCAAGAAGCAGTTTTATGAGACATGAAACACGGATAGACAATATGCATTTTATGGAACTGATCTTAAGGAAAAAGATAAAATGGTACAGTTTCCTTTCTCTTTACCATTTTACTCTATAGATTATAAAAACAATTCATTTATTTATCAAGGAAGCCAAAGAAACATTAAACTTTCATCCTGAATTGAAATCTTCATTAAATTATCTTAAATGGCCTCATTCACACTGGCTTATATGGCCCTTTCAGGTCTATGGTGGAGATCTATGTCCCTGCTGCCTAGCTTGCTCAGGATCACATCATCAGAAAATTAAGGGAAGAATCTGTCAGGTTGGTCTGAATTCCAGCTGGGACACACGGCTCCCCAGATTAGGCCATATCATCTGTACCTGTGAGCTGAGACATAAAGGACCAGTGCACATTGTACAACGGGCTTCAAAGAGAGGTAGTTGACAGTTGGAGAAAGGAAAGATGCTCCCTGCAAGGTGAGCACCATGTGGAACAAATCCATGAAAGATTATTTTGGTCTGTAGGAGCAGTTCCAGGACTTTTAAGCATTGAATAGAGCCTCATTTGTACACTCTAGTTTTGTAGAGCCAATTTATAGAAAGAGAACAGAGGTCCTTGAATCGGGAAGTCATAATGCTTGGAATGGTGGGCATTGTGAAAACCAGGTGATGACAAAAGGTCACTTTCACCACTTTTGGGGAGGCTGGCCTGGTTCTGTGTTTATCACAGAAGTCTAAGGTACTGGTTGTGTCAGGCTGAAAAGTGAAATAAACTGGTTAGCTTTTCAAATATAGCCTTCTAACTAAACTCAAATGTTTTTATTTCATTGGCTAAGGACATGGTCCTGAATATTCAATTCTTTTGCAGATCTGATGATTTCAATTTGCTGTCTGGATGGAAGCTACTGCTCTAGGAGATAATGTAGTATTGCCTGGAGCAGATGCATCTGGAAAACTATTTAACACTTTGGTTCTTGGATTTATCCAAGATGTGACTTTACTGTCATTAAGAAATAAGAACCTTGCTCAATCTAGGGGAAGGACCTTGGTCATGCTTCAAAGTGAAGTGTCAGACTTTGTTGACTCCCCATGAGAACTTTTACCCTTTCTAAGGAGTGGGTAAGGGAGCAGGGTTGGAGGAAGATGGAGAAATTGGAGGAGGGGAGGGAATGGGAACAGGGATAGCTATTTGATATGAGAAAAGAGTATATTTAAAAAATTCATGATAAACTAAAATGCCTTAAAGACACTAAAGGAAATGTTCAACATCCTTAGTCATTAGAGAAATGCAAATCAAAACAACTCTGTGATTTCATCTTATACCTGTAAGACTTGCCAAGATCAAAAACACTGATGACAACTTAACCTGGAGAGGATGTGGGGTAAAGGGAACACTCCTACATTGCTGGTGGGAGTGCAAGTTGGTAAAGCTTTGGATATCAGTTTGGCAATTTCTCAGAAAATTAGGAAACAACCTACTTCAAGACTTTTGGGTATATACCCAAGAATGCTCAATCTTACCACAACGACATGTGCTCAACTATGTTCAAAACTGCATTATTTGTCCTAGCCAGATTTTGGAGACAATCTAAATGTCTTTGAACCAAAGAATGGACAAGAAAGATGTGGTACATTTACAGAATGGAGTATACATAGCAGAAAAATGACACCTTGAAATTTGTGAGCAAATGGATGGATCTAGAAAATATCATATTGAGTGAGGTAACCCATACCCAGAAAGACAAATATCATAAGTACTCATTCATAAAGCAAAAAAAAATCAGCCTACAATTCACAATTCCAGAGAACTTAGACAACAAAGAGGACACTAAGAGAGACATACATGAATCTAATCTACGTGGGAAGTAAAAATAAGATAAGGTCTCCTGAGTAAATTGGGAGCATTGGAATCATGGAAAAGAGGAGAAGGGGAGAGAATAGGCAAGAAGGTATCAGAGAAAAATACATAGCTCATTAAAAACAATTTTTAAAAATCTTGATAAAAAAAGAAAGAAACACTTTTCAAAGCTGTTCAGTGTTCAAGGCACAAGAGTTCTGGACAGACTAGTAGGTAAGATAGAAGCTTCTCTGGTACTCAGTAACCCTTGCACTATGTCAAGCTTTGGAAAAAACTGGTGAGAAGATCTGGGACTTTAAACAAGTTATTGTTCTCTCAAGAAAGTTTTATAGGACTTGTACAGGCATGGCTCAGTGTGAGCATCCTTTTATTTTGAAGGGAAGTCTTCTGTAGCACCATAGAGGTGGAAAGTTCTGATGGGACTTCCCACTTCTCTTTATTCCCGCCATTTGCAGATAGCATCAACCACTTACACACCATAAATCCAGCAAGTTGCTATAGTTTATTGGCAAAGTTGCCCCAGATATGAGAAATGAAAATATTTGACATTTTACTACCTAGGATATGTAGAACCTCCAAGAATGGTTAATTAGGAATATTAGATGTGTGACCATATTAGAATTCTTCTGTGGTATTTGTAACTAAAATTAATGATTTTAAAAATAAAGTTAGTGGTCTTCAAAATGAAATGAACATTTCTCTCTGAAACAGAGACTTAAATAAAAATCTTTTGAGAAAGTTAGTAAAGTTGCCTTGGGTTCTCCATGAGGATCTCAATCTCTCTCTCTCTCTCTCAAGTCTTATTTCGGAATTACTCCATGTATCCTCACATTGTGGTGTCAAAAGGAAAATAAAAATGACTTCACTACCAACATAATTATATAAATAAATTAACACTGTTGATTAATATACAATTCACAAAAATCTAATGGTTATTTCCTCATACTCAGGCCTGGCATAAAATTTTGTTAGTGCTTCAGTTAGCTGAAATGGAAAATAAATGTGTAAACTTTTCATAGCTGTTTTCAGAAATCTGCTCAGCGCTCTACTTCCCTTATCTGGGATTTTCAACAGTGTGCTTTTGGAATGAATCATACCATGCTATCCAAACAAGACCAAGAACACCGTTTGTACAATATATTGAAAATTTATCATACATCTTAGTCTGTTTGTATTCTAACTTAGAGGAAACACAACAATTCAAACATAGAAATGCAATCTAAAGTGAACTTCCTGCAACTGGGTGAGGAAAAATATAAATGTTTGGAAAGGGAACCATCTGGTCTCTCAACTTTGTAAATCTTAAAAATCATTTGTGAGCCCTTGAAAATAGGGTGGTTTTAATTGGAGCATAGGTGGAGCATACCAACTTGGTTTGCTGGCATTTCAGCAAGCTACACAAACCCAAGCAATTGTGCTTGTATTTGCATCTGTCTTCATGTATAATGATTATGTAGATTCTCCTTTGTGTTGAGGCCTTATTAGGAAGATGGGTCAAAATTATGCTATCCTATGAATAGTGGACACAAAATCTTCTTGGTGAGATTAGCAGCTATCAAAATAATTATTTTAAAGGGAAATAACACACCTTGCAGTATGTTGACTATATTCATTTGCTTCACTTATGAAATATAAAGATATAGATATCACAGCAAGATTTATGTGTTGTAAAATTAAATGACTCTAGCTGGATAAATGCATGAGAGACATAAGTATGAATAACTATGGACTAAAGATGAATAACCTTAGGCAAGCATCAAGATTCAGATAATATGAAATTACAAAATATTATAAAAGTAAATAAAAAATTCAATTTCTTCAGCAAATAAGAGCTATAAGAAAAAAAACTCAAAGTAGGATTAGATCAAGGTAATTCATAAGGATATACTAATCAAAGAAAATTTGCAGACCGTAGGAAGACAAATTTGAAAAAAAAACAGTGTGTAATCATTTTTATGAGTGTACAGGATGTGTGCATATGTTGTGTGTGTGTGTGTGTTTACATGTCTCTGTGTGCTCCCGTGAGAATGCT